ATCTACACATCAGCAGGGGCACACTCTTTAAAGTGACCTTGACCCCTGTCTCGGTTTGCTCAAATGTTAGACTCAAAACTCACATTCCTTTCAAAGCTATTGGAAAAAATCTTTTTTTCCCAACTGATTATGTTTTTGGATACTAATGGTGGGTTTTCAGTGTGGTTTTAAACATCTACACTCCACTAAAACAACACTTTTACGGGCTTTTAATTATGTAATTCTAGCAAATGATTGTGGAAGTTTTGTAATTCTTGTGCTTTTAGATCTTACTGCAGCCTTTGATGCTGTTGACCAACCACAGTTAGAACACTGATCTAAAGGGTTGAAGGACCTTAGATCAGCCGACCTGCTGCTTTCGGTTGTCCCCAAAACTGGTTGAAACTTAGAGGAGAACGAGCTTTTTCAATTGTGGGCCCCAAACTTTGGAATACGTTGCCTTTGAATATTAGACAGGCATCTTCGCTTCTTCCTTTTAAGTCTCTTTTGAACTTTTTTCAGCATTTAGCATTTAGACTGGTGTGAGTTGACATGCTTTTTTTCCCTACATGTGCGTGTTTTAATGTGAATGTTTTTATCTTTTGTTTTATATCTTGTTTTATTTTTGTACAGCACTTTGGGGAAACTTTCCACTTTTTAAATGTGCTATATAAATACATTAGATTTGGATTGTATTTGAAAATCATTAATCTATAAATCAACACTAAACTTTCCAGGTGATGGCTATCTCATCATTTGTAACCTCTAATTATAATTATTCCAACTCACTGGAATCAGAAAAAGCATTATTTTACTTTTATATATTTAACAAATAGCTTCCGAATCTTTTGGTAAAAAAGCCATTAAACTCAACTAAAATGTGAACAGTAATCTGTATGGTGCGGAGGGCTAAATATTAATGAATTCAGTGTGAAAACACTGCCACCATGAGGTAAAAGTGAAGCATTACATAATTATGAAAAGACACATTTGTGGGATCATAAATTATGCTTAATCCACTGAGTATAATATGGCACGTGACTGATTCTTCACCAGATTTACCTTTTGTTAAATCTGTTGTGCAGAAAGGAAGAACTCGCACTGTCAGGACCCCTCGAGTTTCACAGAACTTCAGACTTTACTTTTCACAGAAGGTTAAAAACACATCATCTGTGGTGATCTTAAGATGCCCCCAGCAAAGTCACAGGAGTGTTATACCCACTGAGATGTAAACTCATCCCTCTTACCTAAATGGACATTGATTACTTTCTGAAAATAGCTGCAGTTTGTATAATCAATAGATTAGTACGACTGTCATGCTGCTATGACAGAGTATTAAGAAAAAAAATAACGTTGTCAATTTTGAGATTAAGCTCCAAACTCATATTTGACAAAGTTGAAATTTGGCCCTCACAGTTGCTTCCAGCCGAACAACTGCCACAGTGCTTATACGCACTACAAAATGCTTGTGTAGATGAGTCAGTGAAACACATTGGTCTTATTGTGTCTTGTGATACAACACACATATTCTTTATTGCACAAGACTGTAAATATCCATATTTCCACTCCCAGCTATTTCATTTAGCACAAATCTAGCAAACTCTTTCATGTTTGTGTGTTTTTTAACCAGATGCAGAATTGTGCGCCATCTCTTCTAACTTTGTTATACTCATCACCACATTGTGTTGTTTACTGAACACATTCTGAATTATGATATCACTAACTAATATACACGGGATATAGGCCCTTTGCACATTACTCATTTAGCCTGAAAAAATATTAAAATATTCCAATAAAAAATACACAAAAAATGACATAAAACATATAAAAATGTGTTTTATCTGTTTTTTTTTTACTCTGGTCTGAGGTGCTGGGGGGCCAGTTAGAGACCAGCAGCTGGATGTCAGTGGTTGGACTGGTGGACTACTTCAGTGAAGAGTAGACGACGTCTGGCTCTGGTTTAAAGTCTGAACACAAACACACACAGTTCAAACAACAGGAAACATGATTACAAGCTTTGTAGTTCAGTCAAGACCTCCAATCTCCACCTCTCTGCATCACACACAGTCCCAGTTCAACTGGGTCAGAGCTCTGAGTTTGATCCAGGATGAGGTTTCATCAGCTTATCTTAGCATGATGGATGCAAACAGGTTTAGCAGCTAGCTTGTCTCTATGCAAAGTCAAAGATAAAGAGCAGCTGTACCTGGGCCTGCTTGTTCTGATGGTTGTTTGTCCATAACTGACGTTTTCACTTCTCACTGCTGAGTAGACCACAACTACAAAATACATTTCTGCAAAATAAAACAAAACTCATTGAAGCTATAACAATACACCAGTGCAGCTACACACAGTAAAACATATTTACTTTTTCTAATGTGTCATCACGAGAGTCCATGACAGTCGGCCATTGCAAGAGTCACATTTGTAACCAGATTAAATTGTCTATTCTGAAAAATAGTCAGATTGTCTTTTCTTATTTAATTCACTTAATGTACAGAATTCACATGCATAACTATGCATTTGACAAATAAAGAACCTTGAACTTGTCCACCCCAACACTGTTTGTGTGACTTCCCAGAGTTTATCGTCCAATACAGTGAACAAATTACAAGAACATGTAAAACTTTCTTTCTGTTCTTCACACGGTTCAGTAACCTGAGAAATGTGATGTGTCATGAACAGGAGGAGCTACATGCCACTGATGTTCTGCTTTATAAACCGCAGCATCTTCTTACAGTTTTTTTCCTCATCTTAACACCTCTGCTGTGAAACACTGAGTGACCACAAAGAACTGTGTTTCTGAGAAAGATGCAGGTGGACGACCACAAAGCTGCCATCTTTTTCCCCTGCAGACTGACACTCTTCACCACAGAGCACAAAGCAAACATGTTCTCACAACGTGAACACTATTATTAGACAAACCAGTAAACACCTCGGTGAGAACGTTCATCTGTTATAGACGAACTGTAATCAACAATCGGAAGTTGCTGATGTTTTACAGTTTTACAGTTTGCAGAACGTTGAAACAGTTTAAAAGTTTTTATTATATTAAACAAGTACTCTTTTTCATTATATGTCTAATAGTGACAATACTACTGAGAGTCACTGCTCACCTAATGCGGAGTTTTTAATGGTCAAATGCAGACCTTATTATCTCCCCAGAGAACTCACTTCGATCATACTCACTGCAGTGTATATCCCCCCCGACGCTAATGCTAGGTTGGCCATGAAAGAACTTTCTGCAGCCATTAACAAACACCAGAATAAACACCCCGAGGCTGCTTT